TCCTAGCGGGGCTCGGGCGCCCGGGGATGCCCGGCGGGGCCGGAGGGAGAGCCGGCCGGGGCCCTCCGCCCCTTGGCCGCCCGTTCCCGGGCAATCGGCGCGGTCATTTTCAAAGGGGCAGCCTGGAGAGAGAGGAAGAGGAGGAAGAGGAGGAAGGAGAGCGGAGCGGGATGGGTGGGGGCGCGAAGGCTCCGGCGCCGCCTCTCCGGCGGCCTCCGCCAGCCCCGTTAACTCTCGCCGGGCCGGCAAGGTGTGGCGCCCGGGCTGGTGGTGGCTGCTCCCTTTTCTCTCTCTCTTCGTAGAACAGGCTGAAATCCTCAGGCTTGGCCAAGTGCCCTTCTGGAGAACTACAAAACCCATCATCCTTGCTTTTTGAGGACTACACATCCCACATTCCACCGAACGACCCTTCCCAGCATCTAATTCTGAGGAGCAGAGAGCCCAGAATCTCTTCTCTCCGGAGGATGACCAATCACAACCGTCTGTGTTTTGAGGAGTACAGACACCGGAAATCCCCGGTTCTGTTTTTGAGGACTACAAATCCCAGATTCCTCCACAGAGTCCTGAAGAAATCCTGGTTCAGAGGGGTGGGTGGGTCATGCTGCAGTCCCAAAGATGCTCAGCTTAGGTGTAACTTCCTTTTTTGAAGATGCAGTAGTGTTGTGCGGTGGATGGAGCATTGGGCTAAGACTGGGGGTGGAGAACGCCAATGCTCTGGTTTCAAGCCACCTATGTAGAGTCCATTTATGACCATCACAACTGGTCACCCAGGGGTGGCCCAAGAATTTATCCAATCCTCCTTAAAGCATCCCTGTTGCCTGCCATCACTCCTCCTTGTGTCCATGAGTTCCACGGCTTAACACCCTGAAGATTTCCCACCATTCAGTGGATGACCCCTTTGGATTCTGATAGGAAGAGAAAGCAGGACATCCATCTCCTGTATCCGTTTTCTCCATCATTTCACTCAAAAGGAAGGGCTTAAGGATGATCCTTCAAGGCTGAGAGAGAACACCTCAAACCAGCATGAATCTGATGTGTCTTCACTCTGGAGATTGCTTTGCATCTGGAAGGGTCTCTCACTGCACTGCAATCGTTTTAACCTGGCAAAGGTACCGTAGACAACTATTCCCCTTTGATTTTTCCCTCCAAACATTCCTATCTCCCAGAGTTAGGGAAAAGTTACTTTTTTGGACTACAAGGCCCTAAATCGCAGCCACCACGGTCACCACACCAGTGGTTACCAGGGGCTCCAATTTCAGGGGTGCTGTGAATCCACTCCAGGATTTACTCTGCCTAAGGCTGAAGGCAACCCCCAAAATAGGCCCAGCCCTCCTGTAAAAGGCAGAGTAAATCCTGGCATGGATTCACAGCACCCTTGGAACTGGAGTCATTCCATGTAGCTTTCTGCATGATCTCAATCTCATGATCTTCCGCCGTGATCTTCATCATTCTTCAGCCAAGCCAGAGCTTGGGAAAGTTGCCTTATAGAATCATCATCATCATCATAGAACTGCAGAGCTGAAAGGGATCTTCCCATCCAGCCTCTTTCAAGGAAGGCACACAGAACTGCAGAGGTGAAAAGGATCTTCCCCATCCAGCCTCTTTCAAGGAAGGCACACCCTAGGAATTGAACGCTGAACCTCTGCCGCCAGAGACCTAAACCACTGAGCGATCTGGCTTTCTGGAGTCCATCTCCTCCAATGGGGATGATGATTGAGAGATTCTAGCCCCGGCACTGCCCAAAGGGGGCATTTTAAGCGTTTCCATTTCCCTCATCGGGTAGCCTCTTACACACAGGTTAAAAAGTCTGGATCCAACAGCAACAAACTCTTCACCGGGTGAGCCCTCCGGCCGTCAGTTTTGACTAATGCGGCTGCTGTTTCCTTCCAGCCTTTGGCCGCTTGGCTGCTTCCTTGCAAGATCCGTTCCCTCCTCCCCCACCCCGCAGGACGAGGCCTTCTCTGTCATTAAAAACAGTCATTAATAAAACATCGCTGGGGACACAGGTCCACCGCCTGGTTGCAAACGAAGCCAGATTGATCGAACAAGACACGGCAGACGTGTGAGGTCAAACACTTTGCCTCGCCAAGGATTTCTCTGTTGGAAAGAAGCAAAAGCAGGCTCTGAGGTCTGCAGAAGGCTCTGTCTTCATCACAAAAAAGGGTGTTGGGGACCCCTTGCCAATGGCCAGTAGATTTGCCAGAAAGGCTATGAAACATGCAAGAGGGCTACCTCAAACTATCTTGAACAAGCGGGGCGAATCCATCTGGAAAAAGGCATTCTCTCAGTAGCTCTGTCCCCATCTATTCCATTCTTTAAGGAAAGCTTTCAAAAATGCAATGTTTAAAGACGGTACCCTACCCCAAATATCACTTCTCTCACACACTTTTTAAAAGCATTAACCAGTATTCCTTGAATCTCATCCAGGAACAAACCATTCCATGGGTCTGTGCAACTGGTACGATAAAGGTCTTTAGCCCTGGTCAAAATCATAAGAACAGCCTTTTAGATCCACTGAAGTTGATCGGGCTTCCAAGGGCTGGCCCAGGTAGATCATATTACAGTAGTCTAGCCATGATGTATGGTTTGAGGGCCACATCCTGGATCTTTGGGAAGGGAAATACTTGGGTTTTTTTTCTATTTCATAGGGAAAAAAGGCCAAAAGTCTAGGGCTAGATAAGATTACATTTAATAGCTTTTTACATATGTGGCAGTTTTCAGAGAAGTAACCCTATTCGTTTGTTTCCAGAAAAAAATATAAATATGTTGTTTTGTCCACCTGTGTCTGAAAACATGGACTATAATAGACAAAAGCTTGCACCAAAATAAATTTTTTAGTATGAAAAGTGCCACACAATATTCGTTACTACATTTATATAAGGCTGATGCATTTGCAAACAACTTTCCATCACAGACTAAAAGCAAACACACATCAGGTAAAACCAATGTAACAATGTTAAGCCAAATAAACACTCTGTAAATCTCTCTCTCTCTCTCTAACATTAAAACAAGCACCTAAACCACTACACGGGGTTACAAAAGTGTTTACTGTTCCATCAACTTTCCATTGTCTCATGCGTGTTTATGGCTTCAGCTCATGAAGATGAAAAATTATTCAGCAACCCATCAGCCTATCTAAAAAGTTAATTAAATCTCACAATCAATTGATTTGTTATATTTATCTTTCAATTTCCCTCCCGTCTAGCCAAGGTGCACACAGTGCTTCAACTTTCCACGTTATCCTCACAACACCCGTTTGAGATAAACGAGGCTCAGAGACCGGGGCTGTCCCGTGAGCTTTACAACTGAAATGCACCTCAGGTCATCTGACCTTTAACTCTTTTTGACTACAAGTCCCATCATTCTGGGAGGCCTACCTAATAGACAGGCGCCTTACAAAACCTGGACGTAGCTCATTTGGGACAATAACCTACTCCGGAAGGCTTTGAGGCCTTGCCCTGGCCAATCTCTGAGAACTTCCTTTCTGAACAGGAAATCAGGCAGAGCTAGGCCTAGCTAGGCCTCAAATCCTTCCGGTGAAGGCCTTTCTCCCAGGTGAGCCATAGTTAAAGATGTCAGGTAGAACTCCCAGAAGGGAGAGTTTTGGGATTTGTAGGCAAAATAAAAACAAAATCCTGTCCCTATCATTTGAACGCTGGTGCAGCACATGGATTCTCATTTCTCCCAGCGTTGGGCTTTGTTTTCTCCACTGTTTTTCTCTGCCATACCTTCTGCGCCACTCAGGTTTATTCTGAGCATGCTTCCCTCTTGCGTTTTGGCTCCAGTCCCCACCCTGAGTTCCCTGTTAGAAGCTCACCTCCAGTTGCAAAGGCCGACGCCCGTCGATTTACCTGCGAGTAAACGCCGCTACGACCTGCGAGGAAGCATGCTGACTACACACTTTCCCCTCGAACACAAAGGCTTCTGTCGACGCTGTGATTGCCAGAGGCCAGCCCACCTCACCCCCACATCGTTCCCACAACACCCACAGACAGCAATGCCCAAGAGGGTTCGCGATCAAAACGGTTTGCCTCCTTTTAATATACTTCACATTAAAAAGCAGCCGGGTGTGCCTGAGATGGGGCAAGAACAGACAGAGGTGGCGTCGGCCTAAGGCTAGCCAACCCTCGTCGCATCGTGCCAGCCATTCCTTCGTGGCCAAAACCTTAATCAGTCCTGAAAGGACGGGGGGTTACGGAAAGAGAAATCTCATTTAATTCTTGACCTGCAGTCAAGTTCGTTCAGATCTCCAGAAGAGCCTCTCGGCTTCACAGGCGACCGGCTCCAGCTCCTGCTAAGCAGACACCCGGATATATCGGCGTTTGTCCCTGTGGATCTTGAGCCACCGGGAACACAAATCGGTGCTAAGTCCTTCCAGCGGAAACGGCGGCTTCTGGATTTTTTTCCTTCCCGAAATGGTTCCGAGCGCCTTCAGTAGTAATCTTCTTTTTTGTGAACTCTCCCCACAGGGCCTCTGGGTTCGTGGGCCAGCTCTGCGTCGTCAGGGTCCTCCGCGTCGCCTTGGTGGTCTTCCTGTGGTCAGGGCGAAAAGAGGAAAAGCCGTTTCTTTTGTTGCAGAACAAGGGGAAAGGCTTCACTAACATCTCTGGCCCCTGTTTCCCAGGAGCATCTCCCAGACCCACTGTTTTTCCTTGCATGGAAAAGGACCAATGGCATCTGAAATAGTCGAAGTGGTGCATGTAGGCGCAAGCGTTGCCCAAAGGCATGGAGCCCCCCCTTCACAGTCCGTCACTCCCTGGGTACTCTTAAGGTCTGACATTAATTGTTTCTGAGCAGCTCAGGAGATGGGAGGGCAGCGAGAGGGTTCGTCTGAGGACAGGAGACTTCGTTGCTTGCTTCGGGGAGGGCCCACTCCACTCCCCTCTTCCCCCTCCTGCTGCTCGCAAAAAAGGGCAATCTATATTAACGGAGACGGCCCTGCCACTTTCTGACTTCAGGACCAAGGAAGGAAGAGTTTCCTCCCTCAAAGTATTGTTAAATCTGTGGAACTCACTGCCACAAGATTGCTTAAAATGAACTGTTTGGAAAGGATGACTGGACAATGGATAGAACCACCATCCTGTACTCTGGGGCACAACCAACGACATAAAGCTGAGAAGGTAGGAACTTCCAACTTCTCGTAAGTAAAGATTTCCTCCATTTGGGGGCAAATGGAGTGTCATGTGCCTAGCTTTTACACCCTCACAGGTTCAAAGTAAGAACATCCACGCTGGAAGGTGTTTACTAAGGGGTGCCAACTTCCATGTTACTGCCACATAGAAACAGTGGTGTTGCAATGACCTCCCTGGACTACAACTCCCAGAATCCCCCAGCCCACATGGCCACTGCTACTGGGAAGATTCTGGCTGTTGTAGACCCAACACGTTACTTGGCCAAGCTGTGCTCACCTTTAAGTTAGTTGCAATACAAGGATCTTTTGGGAAGCTTTTTAAAGAGGCTCGTGAGGAGCCGTGAAGGAGAGGGTGTGTTTCTACACAATCATCTTTAACACACCAGTGAATAGAGTGGGGGGGAATGGAAATCCATTCTACTGCATCTCGCTAAAATCACCATACCTGATCGTCTGGAAAAGAGGTTTACTTGCCCTAGGCGATGAGCTAAAAAGCTGATTGGGAAACTTGCTCAAGATGCAAGCAGCATTAAAAAAATCAAGGAAGGGAAAAGAGAGAGAGAGAGAGAGAGAGGAGGAGGAGAAGAACCTGGGCTTCGTACAAGATCTTGTTCCTCGTCTTCCTGGTAATCATCCATCAGATAATCTGCTCTTTTTTTGGGTGCTCCGGCTTCCTGGGGAGGAAAAAAAGCACACACAGAGTTGGTCTGGAACGGGAGACTGAGTTTCACTCGAGTTTAGCCCCCAAGCCTACTGTGACGTCACAGTAATGGGGAATGCAGTGGTTACGATGAAACCATTCGAACGCGGGACTCTGGCCCTCGTGCCGGAACTGCTGTGCCACACCGCTCACTGGCCGATGTTGGGCTAGTCATGATCTGACCTCACTGGGTACTTGGAGGAGAGCTGGCAGCCTGTCACGAGAAGCATGGGCTCCTCGGTGGAAGCGCCAAGCTCCTTGCTTCGAGGAAAGCTGAGAAGCAGGAAAGGCTGTGGGGGGGGGCACCTAAAAATCTCCCTCTCCGTTCCCCGTTCTAATCACCCCCATCCTTGGTCTCCAATCAATCGGACCGCTTTGCCCCAAAGGCACGCACCTTACGGATCTTCTCCTTGGTGACACCTTTCGCAGGCTGGTTGGTTTGGCCCGGTTCATCGGCCTGGCCCGCTCTCTCTTCGAATTCGGGACGCTCCAGTTCCGCCTCCTCAAACTCATCTTCCCCTTGGTTATTGGGGTCTTGGGCAGGATCCGAGGCATTATCAGGTACCTGGGCAGGAAAGAGCGCAGCTAGTTCAAAATGCTGCAGCCAGATTCCTGGTCAGTGCTGGTTATAGGGAGGATGCAACTCCCTTATTACAACAGCATCACTAGTTGCCAGTCTGTTTCCAGGCCCCGCTGGGTCCAAGCTACCCCATAGGAGTCTTCTCCGCTTTTAAGATCTTCCGGAGAGGCCTTCCTCTTGTGTCCACCATTTTTCCAAGCTCGTTTGGTGAGGACACAAGACGGGGCCTTCTCAGTGGTGGCTCCCAGGCTTCAGAACGCACTGTCCCAAGAAGCCAGGTTGGCCCCCTCCCGGCTTCAGAACACACCGTCCCGAGAAACGAGGTTGGCCCCCTCCCTCTTGTCCCTCCATCGTCAGGCAGGCTTTTAAGCAATAAGTTGTCCCAGGTACGCTGGTTTTTAACGTACACATTTTAAAATGTTTTTAAAATGATGTTAAACTTGATTTAAAAAAATCTTAATATAGGGTGAATTGTGTGGGTGTTTTTTTAAAAAAATATAGACACACCGTCCCGAGAAACGAGGTTGGCCCCCTCCCTCTTGTCCCTCCATCGTCAGGCAGGCTTTTAAGCAATAAGTTGTCCCAGGTACGCTGGTTTTTAACGTACACATTTTAAAATGTTTTTAAAATGATGTTAAACTTGATTTAAAAAAATCTTAATATAGGGTGAATTGTGTGGGTGTTTTTTTAAAAAAATATAGTATTTGTGTAGTGTTTTTCAAATCTGTTTTTTTATCGGTTGAGAGCCACTTGGGGTCTGTGAGCTCTCTAGCGGGCAGTATCATCTGGCATGGCCATATGGCACCTCTGTTCCTCCTACCAGCTGGAACGTAACAAAACAAATGTGCTAAGGAGCACTGCAGGTCCTGTATCTGCATTTCCTGGAAATACCTGGCTGCCACTATCGGAATAAAATATCAGTAGTGATAGCATTTTCAGATTTCTTGGACTACAAATCCTATCATTCCTCAGTCTGGGAGTTCTACGCCACAGACAGACACCTTGCAGACACCTAAATGTGAGCTGGAACGTAACAAAACAAATGTGCTAAGGAGCACTGCAGGTCCTGTATCTGCATTTCCTGGAAATACCTGGCTGCCACTATCGGAATAAAATATCAGTAGTGATAGCATTTTCAGATTTCTTGGACTACAAATCCTATCATTCCTCAGTCTGGGAGTTCTACGCCACAGACAGACACCTTGCAGACACCTAAATGTGGCTCACCTGAGTGGAAATATCTGGCTGCCACTATCAGAATAAAATATCAGTAGTGATGGCATTTTCAGATTTCTTGGACTATAAATCCTATCATTCTCCAGTCTGGGAGTTCTACCCAACTGACAGACACCTTGCAGACACCTAAATGTGGCTCACCTGGAAGAAAGGCCTAAACAGGAAGGCTTGGTGGCCTAGCTAGGCCTTGCACTGCCTAACTTCCTGTTCGGAAAGGAAGCTCCCAGCTAGCACTGGGACGAGAAGAAGAAGCTTGGGCACAGCTAGATCTAAAAGCCTTCTAGCTGAGGTCTTGTCCCTTCAGGTGAGCCACATTTAGGTGTCTGCAAGGTGTCAGGCAGAACTCCCAGAATGGAGAATTATGGGATTTGTAGTCCAAGAAATCTGAAAATCCCATCCCTAGATCTCAGACACAGGGGGCTCATAACTCCCCCAGAAGTTGCCATCTTGATCTTCCAATGCTTCTGACTATGAGTTTGTGCCAATCTGACCTCAAAATAGGAACTCTCCAGACCACAGAACCTCAAGATGCTTCTCGCTCCATGTACAAACCCCAGGCTTCTCGCCTCTTACCGCTGCTTGCAGGATGATAGTCTCTTTCCGAGTGCGGGAGTTGTCCTCTCGATCAATCATGCCGGCATCTGAACAAAGGAAGGGGAAATACTGAATACAGTATATCCTGCCTACCTCCACGTTCTCAATTCAAGTCAGACCTGCGCCTTGTTAGACCACCAGGGCAGCTTTCCAGAATTGGGGTTTCTGTTCATGGAAATATTGCACAGGATCCCGGCCTGTCTCCCAAAATTCAGGAGGAATCGAGAATAAGGCAAGAACACAAGAGACTCAACTGCTTATGGAGGAAGCGATAAGAGACTCCAGAAAAAAATGGCTGAAAGATGAGCCGACACTTCCTAAGACTTGGTGTCTAGGGTCACTAGAGACCTACCATCATGTCTGAGTTTGCTCCATTTCTTATACCCATGAGGAGAATTAAATTTACAGCCTTTTTTAATGTTTGGGGACCTTTATCCCCCCAGGTGACTGAGAAACGAGGGAGGTATCCATAGTGACCAGGCAGAAGCTAGATGGCTGCTCTTCACTGACTTTTTTTAGAGCTACCAGAAAGCCACCCTGGCCCATGCTGGCATGAAGATGTTGAGCGTGGTAGCCTCTAGAGCAGTGGTTCCCAACCTTGCATGCCCAGATGTTCTTGGACCAAAACTCCCAGAGGCCTTCACCACTAGCTGTGCTGGTCAGGATTTCTGGGAGTTGTAGTCCAAGAACATCTAGGTTACCCAAGGTTGGGAACTACTGCTCTAGAACCTACCCGGTTCTAGAGAAAGCCATATCATCAGTCTACTGGACCACCTCAACCTGGCTATGGATCTCGAGGGCCAATGTTCTCACCATGGCCTGCAACCAAGAGCTTTAACCAGAGACACCGGGGGTTGAACTGGGTTCCTCTGATTCCTGATTATTTGTCTGCCTCCAGGTTTAGCTCCCAGTTCTGTCCCCCTCTTCCCAGCGGTGGACAAACAATTACCCAAGACTCCCAATTAGGCAGCTTCATAGCAGGGTCCCTGTGTCAAGGTTGAATCCAAATTAAGACACGGAGGGACAGATGCTCCCTGTTTCGCCACCCCACACTGTGACCCAGTCTCCTCTACCGCCGAGGAACTGGCTTTGATGTAAAGCAATTAATGCCACCCTCAACGGGGACCTTGGAAGTGGGTCAAACAAATGCCGAAATGCTGCTGTGCACCATGGGGGTAAAAGCCACAGCTGTCCACATTCCAAGCTAGAGGTTGCTTTCTTTCCCAAATCATCTGCCTGGCCTGCAGTTTTGTTAGGATCCTTTTTGAAAAAATAATAACCTACACAAAAAATCATCTAATTCCTTTTCCGGGCTGTGAACCATTTCCTCCAGACACAAAACATTTCTTCAGATTCAGCCCAGAACTTTGGGATGAGTGGGGGAAGGAGTGGGGAAAACCCTCTTTACATCTCCCCTACTGACAAAAACCTCCCGCTCTCGGCTGGAGGAATCAGATGAGAACACTAGGAAGCTACGGAATGTCCATGATCAGTCAAACTGTTCAGATTATTCCAAAGAAAGAGAGAGAGAGGATAAAAGAATGAGAAAGATCAGCCCCTACAGACTTAAAATATTATCCGTAAAAGTGGAGTGAAGACTAAAATGTTTCCCAAGATCCCAGAACTCTGACAAGGGGAGCCTGACAACCATCCATGGGGGCCACGTGCAAGCTATACGGGGGTGCTGGGTGTAGCGGATGGCATCATAGTCCCTGAGAGCCCTCGTGCCACTAACCCACTGAGACTACCCTTACTACTGCTGCTGCCAAGTAATCTCAAAAACATGGGTCACACCAGTTGCAATACCATGTAGTGGAGAAAAATAGCAGAAGATGGCATAATCCTCTAACCTCAACCGAATGCTTAAAAATACATAAATTCACAGGTTTCTGCTCTGCATCATCCTATGGAATCTAGAACCCTTCTCTTCTGCTCTGGAATTCACGGGGCCCAAACCCACATTCTTGAGGCCACCCCAAACCCCAGAATAACATACCCATTTGAAGTTCATCCATGTCTCCTTTACCGTCTGCCCAGCTAGCTGGTTGTGGCTGAGCTGCCCTCCTCTGTTGGCTGTCCGGTTCTGGCTGCCCATTGGCCATGGCTGGCACAGGTCTAGCACCTTGGGCAAGATGGTGTGGGTACGCTGGCGCCTGTCCCTCGTCCATCTGGGCATTCACTTTGTTGACTATGTCTTGCCAACTGCTATGGAAAGAAAGAGAGAGCCGTTTGACGTCCTAGGATGTCACCCGTGAATCTCTTTTGTTGGCAAATTACACACGGGTAAATTTGTTGGAAATTGAGCACCAGTGCATGGAGGAAGTAGCCTGAATCAGGGGACCTGGCATGTTCTTCTATTGTCTTTTTTAGATCTGCCTTTAGATTGCTACTCTTAGCCTCCCTTCTTTCCTCCTCCTTGGAAGTCGCTTTTTCTTTGTTCCTCTTTAGAGTAAGGCAGAATATATGTTCTTCATAATGGCTGCCGGGCTTCCTAAGTAAGTTGAGCCATCTTTTCCTCTTGCGTTATCCACAAATGGCCTTCTCTCTCTGCTTCTTTCTGCTTAATGTCGGTCTCCAAGCAATTAACTCTTCTCCAGTAGTCACAAACCCACCTTAGGCCATGGCTCTCTCTGCAAACATCATTGCCAAGCAATCCTACCAAAAATTCAGTAAGGCCATCTAGCTCAGTCTTGTTGACACAGGCCGTCAGCAGCTTTCAAAAGGAGGAGATAGTTTGAAGATACTGTCTAAGGGATGATGTTATTGTTGCTGCCAATAACTACACACAAAAACCACAAAGGTAGTCATGTTGACTGAAAACCAATCTCCAAACCCATAACCCCAACTGTTATGTGCTGTCAACTCTTTACAAATTTAATAAGGTCTCCAGAGTCTGTTAGATATTTAAGGAATGGTTTCATCCGTTTCACCCTCAGGGAGTTCTCATGGCCGAGCAGGGATTTGAACTCAGATCTCCCAAGTCCTACTCCAGCACTCTCTCCACTGTACCACACTGGCTCTTGACGAAGTGTGATGTGCTCGTAGTTCTCTCCCCACAAGCTTCCAGGAGCAGCCTTAGGAACGATCAAAATTTCCTCTTTTTTTGTTTTTAAGTGAAGATCTTGAGATGTGATGAGCTGGAAAACTACGCTCCAAAGGAGGCGATCGGAACTGTGTGGAAGCTTGCTATCCCTTCCTGCCCTTTCTGGGCTTTGCCCACACTTTGGGAAAAAAGCCAACTTTCTATTCCATTATTATTTTACTATATTTACCGTATAACCTTGGGGGAAGGAGGAAGAGAACTCATCTCGGGCCGGGGCTTCTCCCAGAGTCGGACGGATTAGTGATTAATTAGAGGAAAGCACAGGGCAGCAATAATTCCAAGTATGCAGCTTAATACTTTGCAGTGAGAAAGGACGGCAGGGGGGCAGCCTCGAGGCATTTTGCCACCCGAGACAAAGGGTAAGATGCCCCCCGATCCCTGCGCAGAAGCTTACCAGGTTGGTGGCCGGATTTTCCTGCAACGCTGGACACGGAAAAACATCTCCCCGCACTGGAGCCAAATTCAAAGCTTCCAGGAGAGGCCCCTGAGACCCACAGATGTCACAGCTGAGTTTGGAGGCAGTGGGAGATGTTGGAAGGGCGGTCAGAAGCTCTGCCCTCCCAACCATATTTTCCGCCCGAGGCCGCGGCTGGTCTCTCCCTCACGGCAAGGACGGCTCCGATGGACGGAACCAGCTGTTGCGACCGAGAGCGGCCTCGAAGCTCGTGTGCCCGAGTGGGTAGAATCCAGCCCTCTCGATTTGGATGGAGTACAACTCCCATCTGCCCCAGCCGCAGACGGGAATGCTGGGAGCCATGATCCAACCGGAAGGCCACACGTGAGGTGCAGAGAATTAGAAAATTAGAACCACCCCTTGCTGTGCGAACGCATGACGCTTTTAAACCACAGCAGGACCTACCTCTGTGCCGCCGGATCGGACTGGATCCGTTCCTTCTCCACCCCCTCTTCTTCCAAGGAAACAAGAGGGAGCCTGAACTCGGGTGCCAGAGCCTCCGAAGGTGCCTTCCGCTCACTTTCTCCCTGCGAATTCTTCACAATATTTGGGTCCTAAAAAAGAAAATAAACAAACAAATAAAAACCCTCAAAATGGGAACAGGGGGGAGGAAGTGCGGTGCAGTGGGTGGAGCGAGAGGCAGCAAAGGCAGACCCGAGCATCCCCATACCTCTAACACTCAACTTTTTTTTTTTAAATGGAATTTTACCTCACAGTCTGAAGTGCCTTCTGGTTACTTCTAGTTTAATCAATCCACAGTAATGAATTATTCCTTCCTTGCCTCTGGTTTAGAAGGGAGTCCCGCCTCTCTGCTTAAGAGTCTTTTTCCTGCTCTTTTTCATGGGGGGGAAGTGCAGTGCAGTGGGTGGAGCGAGAGGCAGCAAAGGCAGACCCCAGCATCCCCATACCTATAACACTTACCTTTTTAAAAAAAAAAATGGAATTTTACCTCACAGTCTGAAGTGCCTTCTGGTTACTTCTAGTTTAATCAATCCACAGTAATGAATTATTCCTTCCTTGCCTCTGGTTTAGAAGGGAGTCCCGCCTCTCTGCTTAAGAGTCTTTTTCCTGCTCTTTTTCAGTCAGGACTTAGTTTGGGGTCAGTATTTAGTCAGTCATTTTAGGTGTGCATTCAGTCTGCAGTTATGGGTCAGTAAAGGCCTGTTTGTGAAACCAGTCAATTTTTCCTACAATATATTGTGTTTTTTTATCTGTTCAGAACTATGAGTAAATAGAACACTTTTATTCTTTCTCTTACCAATGTCTCCCTGCTCTTTTTCAGTCAGGACTTAGTTTGGGGTCAGTATTTAGTCAGTCATTTTAGGTGTGCATTCAGTCTGCAGTTATGGGTCAGTAAAGGCCTGTTTGTGAAACCAGTCAATTTTTCCTACAATATATTGTGTTTTTTTATCTGTTCAGAACTATGAGTAAATAGAACACTTTTATTCTTTCTCTTACCAATGTCTCTACTCTAATTTTTTTAAAATCTGTTCAGAACTATGAGTAAATACAGTGGACCCTTGACTTACAGACGGCTTGACTTACAGACTTTTTGAGTTACAGACTTCTCTGGCCGCAAAATTTAGATTTGACTTGCAGACCAGAAAAAAAACAAAATGGAACAAAAACGGCCTGTTACGGGATTAATCGGTTTTCAATGCACTGTAGGTCAATGGAGACTTGACTTACAGACTTTTTGACTTGAGAACCGCCTTCCAATACGGATTAAGTTCTCAAGTCAAGACCCCACTGTAGAACACTTTTATTCTTTCTCTTACCAACGTCTCTGAGCGAGTTACTAAGATTGTAAGTGCCAGTTGCTGAGGCAATAAGGGGTGGCTGACCATGGGGAGACTGGAAGCTAATTCTGCTCTCTAGGTCTCTGCACTATCTGCTGCATAGCTAGAGATTTTTTTAGCCAAAATTTCGCATTATGCCAAATGATTATGTGGTAGGAAGAACGACGTACGCTCCCCTCGAGCTCCCTGAATGCTTACAACAAAACACTTAAGATTTCTTTGACCAGAAGACAGGCAGGTCTCTGAGCGAGTTACTAAGATTGTAAGTGCCAGTTGATGAGGCAATAAGGGGTGGCTGACCGTGGGGAGACTTGAAACTAATTCTGCTCTCTAGGTCTCTGCACTATCTGCTGCGTAGCTAGAGATTTTTTTAGCCAAAATTTCGCATTCTGCCAAATGATTATGTGGTAGGAAGAACGACGTACGCTCCCCTCGAGCTCCCTGAATGCTTACAACAAAACACCTAAGATTTCTTTGACCAGAAGACAGGCAGGTGGAAGTGAATCTTCACACGATTCGTGTGTTCCTCTGTGGATAAAAAAAAGTAAAGCCGCCCTAGAAGAACAAGTGGAATTTGGACAATATGCTTACTTGCTCCTCCTTCTGAAAGCTGTTTACCATCCTTGTGAAGCGGACAATGGGGCTCTCTCTCTGGGCGGCCTGAGGCCAGGCTTCGGGTGGCGAGCGAGCTCCGTCCAGCGGGGCCAGCTGGCCGAACGGCATGTTGCCTTGGGGCCGAAGCTCCTGATTGCCATGAGAAGCCCGGACTTCGGCTGGGTTCCCTTCCCCAGGGTGTTTGATGACAGGGTCTTCGGCATGGGGGGAGTTCCTAGCTGGAGCGGCCAACTGGTCCTGAGGCCCAAGAGGCACTTTTGCTTCGTTGCCTGTAGAGACCTAGAGGGAAGAGTAGGTGAGGAAGAGGACCAGCTCCCAACTACAACCCCCAAGAAAGGTCTGTTTCCATCATTCCATTGCCCCACAGCACCAGGTCAGTGGGAGACCCCTTTCATTCTGCTGCTCAAATACTTCCCATGATTCCAAATTGTAGCATCAGCAAACCTCTGCATTGGTTGGTGAAGTCTGCCACCTAGTGACTGAAGACAGTACTGCAGTCTTCAAACATAAAGTTAACTGCCTTTTTATACACACACACACATGTATAAAGTTAACTGGCATTTTATATATACGTGTGTGTGTGCATAAAATGCCAGTTAACTTTATATTTGAAGCTTGCAGTACTGTCTTCAGTCACTAGGTGGCAGACTTCACCAACCAATGCAGAGGTTTGCTGATGCTACAATTTGGAATCATGGGAAGTATTTGAGCAGCAGAATGAAAGGGGTCTCCCACTGACCTGTGGGGCACCTCCCTTCCTTAGAATGATGTAAACTATATATAGTTCCCAGGTGTCCTGAGGTGTTTTTTTAAAATAATTATAGACAGATGGAATAAAATTAAAAGGCCCGCTTTTCTAGCTTGCCTTCAGAGGTGATCAGCTTTGGGAAACAGCAAGGGAGAGAGACCTGGGTGCCGTACCTTCAGTCTAGCAGCTTGCAACGGGGCAGATCCTGGTCCCTGGGGCTGGTCTTTAGAGGGTGGCTTTGGCAGAATCTCCCCAACCCCTGCTTCCTTGAAACTTGGCATCTTTTGTAGCGTCTCCTTCAGCTGTCTGAACTCTTCCATCTGGACCTAGAGATGGCAGCAGAGGAAAAGGCTAAGAATGAAGGAAGCGGTCTGGCCCAGCTAGCCCAGTATGGCCGACACTGACCGGCTGCCACTCTCCAGCGTCTCAGAGAGGATCAGGCGGGCGAGTCATCACCTTCTTGGCCTCAGGCAGCAAAAAATGGTGGGACGGCCCTGGGAGGCGGGCCCTCTGGAGACTCACCTGAGCGCTGACGAGTTGCGAATGAATATCCTGGTGCGCCTTCCGAAGCAACTTACTCTCTTCTCGCAGTTTGTAAATTGTGTCTACAAAACACAGACACAAAGCAGGGAAGGTTGTTTCAAAGCTCCTACGTTCGCCCAAATGAAATGTTAGCATGCCGTGTTTTGCCAATAATTCTCCAGGGAAATCGTTCCCTAGCCATCGGCATTTTTAATTTTATTTTCTTGACATTGCTTGCAAGATCTAAAACCAAGACCATTTCCTTGTTGGGAGTAAAATTACTCGACAATTTAATGGGGGGGGGGCAGAGTGAGTCAAGACAGTAGGACCCCTGTACCCGTGGAGGAATGGTTCCAAGCCCATCACAGAGGCCAGAAAACACAGATTATAGCAAATGCTTTTTTAATAGCGAACATTTTACATAGCATGCCCTCCGGCGCCTTCTAGTGGCCCTTTCTGATAATCTATTTTTTCTTAGTTTGGTCTCTGGCTCCCTCTGGTGGCTAGTTCTTGTAACTTCCACTTGGAAATATATATTTCTAGAATTCTAATTTTTTTAAAAAAAAAATCAATAATATAACAACAGCAAATAAACAAAACACAACTAACATAGCAATTTAAAAAGGAAAAGGAAACACGTATAAGAAACATTTTAGGTATTTTAATATTTTCAGACCTTGGGTAAATGAATCAGCAGATACCGTACTCACCCCATGCCTGGGGAGTTGAAGAAATACCCAAAGGGGTCCCACACTCACCCTGCAAACCCGCAATCTCGCTGTCTTTCTCCCGTTGCAACTGGGCATATTTCTGGTTGTGGGCTTCTGTGATCTTGCGATGCTCCAGCTTCAAGCCGTTGTGCTGGAGCTGAAGGTCAATCAGCTGCTTCTTCACCTCTTCATGCTGGTTCTGATCCGGAGAGAACGAAAAGGGATGACGAGGGTGGGAAATACCTGAATATGAACATCTGAAAGCCTCCCCAAGGAATGAGAAACTGATTCTCAAAGAACATTGTTACCAGACCATTACAACTGCTTGATGCCATTTCCACTGTGACAATCCAGTCCTGGAGGACCGTGGGATTTGCAGTTTGCTTAGAAGTCTCTGCTGAAGTTCGAAGAAGTACATTACAGCTCTCTAAACACAGAGACCTGATCTTTTTCCATGGAGTTTGCTATTTCCCTTCACTCCTGCTAACAATACTGGGATTAAAGTTCCTGTCCCAAACAGAACAGCTGGAGAGAATCGGCGATTGCCTATGAAGTCTTCATCTGCACATGCATGATGAGTGTACAAATGAAGACTTTGTAGACAATGGCTCATCAATCAATGAGTCAGTCATCTAACTGAAAGCATCAGTTGATCCATCCATCCATCTGCCCGTCCATCCATCCGTCCGTCCGTCCGTCCGTCCGTCCGTCCGTCCGTCCGTCCGTCCGTCCGTCCGTCCGTCCGTCCGTCCGTCCGTCCGTCCGTCCGTCCGTCCGTCCGTCCGTCCGTCCGTCCGTCCGTCCGTCCGTCCGTCCGTCCGTCCGTCCGTCCGTCCGTCCGTCCGTCCGTCCGTCCGTCCGTCCGTCCGTCCGTCCGTCCGTCCGTCCGTCCGTCCGTCCGTCCGTCCGTCCGTCCGTCCGTCCGTCCGTCCGTCCGTCCGTCCGTCCGTCCACCGGTCCATCCATCCATCCATCCATCCATCCCTCCCTCCCTTCATCCATCCATCCAAAAGCATCACTAGAGTCTCAGGATTGATGCAGGTAACCATGGGAACACAAACAGAAGTAGATTCTGGGTCAATGAAAGGCACAAAAGGTCTGGAGAGAAAGTGTAAATTAATTTTTTAAAAAAATGCATGAATGGAGCACAGTTCGAGTAATTAGCACACCCCACAAAGCTCACAGACCACGGAAATAAGAACAGGGGTCTGAATTAGCCAAGAATGTGGCTAAGAAATAGGGAGGTGTGGTCAAAGGGTCGTGGCCTGCCTCCAGAAGGACAGGGGCTGGCAGCTGGTGGACAGAAGTTAGATCTTTTCTTTAAAAAGGGAAATAAAATTACGTCAGGTGTTCCCAGTCTTGGGTCCCCAGATGTTCGTGGACTACAACTTCCAGAAATCTTGGCTAGCACAGCTCCTGGTGAAGGTTTCTGGGATTCGTAGTCCAATAACATGTGTGGACCCAAAGCTGGGAACTACTATGGGATCAGGCATGAAGCCCTGGTGGCCTTCCAGATGTGGAAGGCCTCCACCTCCCATGAGTCCTAGACAACCAGTTGCAACCACATCTGGAATATGTCATTAAAAGGAGGAGGAGAATGTGTTTACCTTCAGGATTTTAGTCCTAGACAACCAGTTGCAACTACATCTGGAAGATGTCATTAAAAGGAAGAGGAGAATGTGTTTACCTTCAGGATTTTATGCTGGGAGCTGAGGGCGCCGTATCGGTTCATGGAATCTTGCTGCAATGAAAAGAGGCCAAGCATCGTCATCATCATCCTCATCATCAAAAGGACTCCATAATCAGAAGAACCTGATGCCATTACTGTAAACCAGTTGCAACTACATCTGGAAGATGTCATTAAAAGGAAGAGGAGAATGTGTTTACCTTCAGGATTTTATGCTGGGAGCTGAGGGCGCCGTATCGGTTCATGGAATCTTGCTGCAATGAAAAGAGGCCAAGCATCGTCATCATCATCCTCATCATCAAAAGGACTCCATAATCAGAAGAACCTGATGCCATTACTGTAATTTCCTAACTTTGTATTGATAGGGAATGAATGGAGCTTAGTTTGACGAGGAATCTACCCAACCGGTAGCCACCACAACGACTCACCCAACAACAACAACAACAGAATGATCGAAATGGCCTTTCTGTTTGTGTGTATTCATCCCCTTTGACATACCCCACAGGGAACTAGTTTGACCCACCTTCTCTTTGTTGAGGGCTTCTTGAGCCTCTAACTTGTACACTAAAAAATCTGAAAGGCAAAAAAGAGACACAAGCGAGTTAATGTGAGGGAGGGAGAGAGATCTCCACTTTAAGAAGGAAGCTAACTGAAAGCGTAGGAACTCAGAAAGATGGACACAATTTTTTTAAAAAAAATCCAGGGAAATAAAATTTTGAAAAGTTCAAAAATTCAGACGCTCTCTTGATTGCTTAGGTAGGTAGGTAGGTAGGTAGGCAGGTAGGTAGGTAGGTAGGTAGGTAGGTAGGTAGGTAGGTAGGTAGGTAGGTAGGTAGGTAGGTAGGTAGGAAGGAAGGAAGGTAGGAAGGAAGGAAGGTAGGAAGGAAGGAAGGAAGGAAGGAAAATACAAAAATACAGTGGTGCCCCGCATAGCGATGATAATCCGCTCCGAAAAAATTGTTGCTATGTGGATTCGTCGCTATGCGGGGCAAAAACACCCATAGGAACTCATTAAAATACGTTTAATGCATTCCTATGGGCACAAACCTCACTGTTATGCAGAAATCCTCCATGCGGCCTCCATTTTCGCTGCCCGGTAAGCGCGGAAAGGGCGCGAAAACACAGCAGGCGGCTATTTTCTTTACCCGGCAGCCATTTTGGAACCGCCGATCAGCTGTTGGAAAAACATCGTTATGCGATAATTGGTAAGCGAAACAGTTTACCGATCATCACAAAGCAATGTTTTCCCATTTAAAACATTGTTATGTGATCGCTTTTGCGATCGCAAAAACTCAATCGCTATGCGGATTTGTCGTTAAACAAATCGCTCGTTAAGCGGGGCACCACTGTAGAAAGAGATTGAGAGAGAGGGTTTAAAAAATTATTTTTTCTCGCAGAAAATAGCCAGTTCTGGCCAGAGCTGGCTATTTTCATACAAAAGATGTAAAATTTTAATTTTGTAGTTTTGTATATGGTGGTTTTACTCCAATGCTTTGTACTTTTAATGTATGTTGAGTGGCTGGGAAAGAGGCTGCTGTGAAAAGGTGGTGGTAGTCATCATCATCATCATCTTAGCAGACCTGGAAGGAACTCTATGCATCCCAGTGTTCAGGCAGTGGTGGCTATCCCAAAAACTCACCCTCTTTTGTCTTCTTGTGTTCACCTCGTTCTTTCTGCAAAGACCTCTCAAGCCGGGATCTGTGTTCATAAACAACTGTGGATGGGAAATGCAGAGAGGCAGAGATAGGGGAAAAAATCATTAGTGGGGTGCCTTCCCAAATTCACCTTCCAGCACTGATTACTGCTGGCAAGGAATAATCTAAATTCTGTGTCAACGAAGCCATGATTTTACAAACCCACCAAACGAGTGGGTTCTCATATTTTGTCCAGCATGTTCTGCCATTGTGCGGTCCTTTCCAGAAGTAACATAGTTCCTTGTAACTAGTGAATTACTGAGTGATAAGTAATGTAACAACTTCTGACACTGTTACTTTCTAGGTGTAATCAACATCACCTAAATTATTTAGAAGGAACGGATAGTATCTAGTTACTTTTCAATGCTGCTTTTAAAGGGCATTTTGGCAGGACTTTTTCCAAGTCTTATCAGTCCTAACTAGCAAGGGAAATAAACTCCTTTATTCTGCCTTTTGGCTGTTTTTCTATTTCCAAGGTGTAATATCAGAAGCGGCCACTAGAGGGAAGCAGACAGTATTTCTCTACCTTTTGCTGGCCTGCTGGGAACGACAAGACAGCATGCCAAAGAATGTCTTATTTGGACAATTGAAGCATAATAATGGTCACGGGCAGTGGAGAAGTAAGAAGAAACACAAACTCCTTTTAAAATGCACATTCTGAGTTCTGCATATTTTATTTTCGCCTTGTTAGGCCTGGATGGGGAGATGACTTTGACACCCTGCCACTCATCCCAGTCCTAATCTTGTTCTGTAGCTCCCAGGCTCAGAAAAGTTATGAGCCACAATTTATGGCATCTCCAACCCCACTTGGCCAGTCGTTGTGCGATGATGAGTTTTGTAGTCCAAAGCTGCTGAAGGCTCATAACTCCAGCATCACAGGGCTGGGGAGTGATGGTTTTTCAATCCAATCTAGGTTTTGCTCCGAACTTTAAAGTGCCCCATTCTGAGATGCTGAAGATATTTCAGCACCATGGAGAGCTCCCTGTAAAGTTCAGACTAAAATCCTTGTGCGCATCCCACAGCTTCTGTGATGCTGAAGATATTTCAGCACCATGGAGAGCTCCCTGTAAAGTTCAGACTAAAATCCTTGTGCGCATCCCACAGCTTCCGTGACACTAGTGTCACCAATTTCCCACTGATCCGGAAAGATAATTTCTTTAAAAATCTAAACTTGGATTGTTCCCCTGATCCGCTTAAGGAGAGAGAAAGGGTGATTCACACATCACAACTCATCGGACCAAGCCAGCATTTCTTTTCATTCCGCTTCTGTTCATATATATATATATATCTCCGTACAGAAATGTCTAGAGGCACCCGCTATTTCACAAAAGCCATCCTTCGCACTCCACCAGAGATCTATCCGCTGGCCTGAGGAACATTTAAGGACATCGAGAAGATGGAGAAAAGCAAGCCTATTTTAGCTTGAGGGGACAGGTAAAAGGAAAGCGAGGCTGAGCTCCAGAAATCCCATTTTTCAGCTCACTCAGACCTGCATTTGCTGCCAGCAAAGGGCTTTGATCAAGAAAGAACACAAGAATCTAGCTTTTTTTCCCCTTCTCCCTTCTGCTTTTTCCTCTGTTAAATGCAAAGGACCCTAGGCTTTCTTTTCAACCTTACCGTGTTGAACAATGCTTTTAAAATAAGCTTGGAAAGGGCTCATTACCCTACAGAGTATGGGTTTGCTTTTTCAAAGAAAAAGTCAGGGATGGCTGCGCAGCGAGGCTTTGCTCGACTCGGGTCCGTGGAAGAAGAGAAAAATGGAGAAGCCCGTTTCGGGTTCGGCGGCCCAGAGAGGTTAGGGTTGACCCCATCGGTGGTGGGCCCAATTCAGAAGAAACTCTAATGAAAGCAATGCATCACCTATAATTCCTCAAAAACTCTGTTAAGGAAGTCAGCGTATTCTAGCAGTGGATTTGAGCCCCAAAATAATAATAATTTGGTGCCGTCAAATCAATTCTGACTTACAGTGACCCCTTTCCAGGGAGAGAATAACTCAAATGTGTTTTACCCTTCCCTTCCTCTAGGGGGCGCCCTGGGGCTATGCAACGTGCCCAAGGCTACCCAGGCTGGTCCTTCTCTCAGTGGGGGAATCAAACTCTCAACTCCGCATCCTTCTCCCAGTGGGGGAATCAAACTCTCAACTCCGCAGCCAGATACCAATAGATGACATTTTGAAAGGCTTTTGTAGTGGGGGGAAAGGAACACACTAGCCTTTTTTCTTCCAAAGGAAAGCAAAGAATCATCATCTTAGAACGGCAAGAGCTGGAAGGGACCCTGTGGATCATGAAGTCCTGCTCCATCAAGGAGGCCCAGTGGGGAATCAAACTGCCCCATTAAGGAGGCCCAGAGGGGGAATCAAACTCCCAAACTCTGTAGCCTCAACCACTGAGCTACACAGCCGTTCTTTTAGCACCAGAGCAAAAAGGCATCCAATTGCCGGCTTTCCCTCCCTCCCAACGGCTACGTTTTCTCTTTCTCATGTCCCCCTTGCTCAGAAAGCAACCAGCTGACATCAGCAGAAAGCAAAGAGAAGCCATCCAGATGTGGAAGGACTACAAGTCCCAAGGAGCCCTCCCTGGTGAAGCATGATGGAAGCCAGAGTCCAGGAACATCCGGGGGGGGGGGTTTCCTCCCAGTCCCCAGCTGCTGCTCAACCATCTCTCTCTGTCTCAGCAGATCCCGCAGCCAATATACATACAGCCTGATACAAAGCTGCACCTGGCACGGAGCCAGAGTTTGGGAGACTTTCAGACTACAACTCCCATAATCCCCCAGCCAACACAGGCACTATGCAAGAGATATCACGCCTTACTTTCAAACCATTCCATCAGGAAGAAGGGACTCAAGGATTTCAGATGGTGCCAAGACCCATCAGCCCCACACACCTCTCGGTTTTCTGGCAGGGGGATTCTGGGACCTGTAGTCCATTTCCGCCAAGCCCAGTTTGCACTGCATTTAAATATAAAGCAAGCAGCCGGATGAGAATCTGTGCTTAAGCTGGCTGTAGCAACCCATCATCTCGTTCCAGGCAGCTCCTGACATCCCTCTTTTTAAAAAAGAATAATAATAATAATAATCCCTCGGGAGCCAGAAACTCTGGAGAAGCCTTCTCTTTCCTTCTGCTTTCAGCCAAACAGATGCTCCGACAAACAGCCGAGCTGAGAAATAACACGAGGTTTCACTAAGCCACTTAAAACATCCACCGCCGTCCCCCTCCTCTGGTGGTCTGTTTGAAATTTTGGACCCATGCCCCCCCAAAAATCCATTAAGCAAGGCGGATAAATAACCCCCAGCAGTAAATCCAACCTCCCCACTCAAAAAACATTAGGTCTATGGAAGATCGGTTCAGAATTCAAGAGCTAGGAAAGATGTGGGCTGTCAATTTTTTTATATAACCAGAAAGGGACCCTCAAGGTCATTTAGTCTCACACCCAATGGACGCAAGAACCTTTTGATTGATTCGTTACTTTGATGTTTCTCTCTTTTTTCTCCGAAGCATAGGACCCAAGGGGGGGGGGATTCCTAATTAAATAAAAACTAAGACAATTACAATATGAAATGAATCGAAGTATGACGACTTGAGGCCGAATTTTTAAAAGATGGAGCTAATGAAAATATAAAAATAATAAAGCACCCCTCCAGCAGAAATATAGTGCACCAGCCACCAGTTTTTCATGTGGAGGAAATTAAGAAAACATACATGTGTTTCAGCCTGTTGAGTATATTTTTCATTGGTCATTGATTGTAAAAACTACAGCTAATTCATTGATTCTTCCATTAAACATCTGGATAAATAAGGCTGTTTTAAACGAAGAAGCAAACTAGCTTTCTTTCCAGAGGTGGGGGGCATTTAGGAAAACCAAACCAGCAATATTTCACCTTGAACCTCCTGCCATCAGTAACTCAGTCTTAGGAGAGATGTTTTGACCTGTCCAAAGAGGAGGAAACCAGTTGGAAAACTGGGGAGCCATTAAACAATGCTGTCAGAGAAAAAGGGGAGATGATGGCCTTGATCAGAGCCTTCGGCTTGCCTGGTAAGAAAACAATTGCTGAGTTTTGAATGTTTCATTAAATTCCTCTAGCTGCACAGCAGAAGTGCAAGGGGTTTGCAGAGCAGAATAGCTTCAAGTTCCCCAGTCGTCCACCCCTTCATCCCATCCACAGGCACTTACAGTCTCAACAAATCATGCTGAGACATTCATAGCAGGAAGAATTTTTTAAAAATTGTCTTTCCTTACTGTTGCGAACAGATCAAACAGCAGCCTGACAAACGCGACTGCTTTCAGCAAACTAAAAAAAAAAGAGGGCAAGAGACAACAGAGCAGAGAGGCGGAGCTGCCTTTGAATTCAGACCCAATGATGGGGAAGTGTTGCCTTGATTGACAGGTACCCCGGCTCAGAAAGGTCCCTCCCAGCCGCACCATCTCCAGGCAGCAAGCGAGGTTGCAAAGACTCCCAACAGAAACGAAAAAGAGGTTTTTTTCCCTGTAGCCTCCCCAGACCTTGGAACTCCTTGCCAAGGGATCATATATGTTCACGGAGAGAGAGAGAGGGTAGAAGGCTCCTTTTGAACCTTGTGCTTGCCAGGTACAGTTGGGGGGGAGGAAACCTTCTATAGCTGCATATAAAAAACTGAAGTCTCCTCTTAAATGTGAGTATTTTCCTAACCAACCCGTTCAGGCCATTTTTAGTCAACACACAAAGGGACCCATGATCCTGCCCACCGGCTTTACAAGCCATCATCTCCTCTCCTAGTCACCAAGTTCCTGTCCAAGATGCCATCCGCAGGCGATTCCATTATGTTTTGCGGCCCCAATTTCCCTATTTCTCTGTTGTTGTTTTAAAAAACCTACCCAGCATTCAACATCCCCTGGTTACCCATTATGCTCAGGCTTAATTGGGCAGCGCAGAAGGAGTCATGGTCGCCACACACACACACACACACAAACACACACACACACACACACACACACACACACACACACACAACACACACACACACACTTTTTAAAGAAACTTCTTCAAACACTTCTGCAAAAACTTCTGGTTTCTGTCGCATCAGCGTCTACTTCCACGTAGCCTCTGTTTGAGACAATTTCTCTAGGAACTCTTGCCCTGTGCCTCCAGTTTTGCGAAGGGAGGATACCCACTGTGGTGTAGCGGACAGAGTGATGGATTCGGACTCAGGAGGCCTAGGTTCGAATTCCCCCCTCAGTTGGGGAAACTCGCTTGGGGAAAGGAACAGGAAAAAGCACTCCTTCAATATCTCCCCGACCTTGAAAGCCCTGTTAGGTAAAGGTCAAGGTTCCCCTTGACATTGAGTCGAGTCGTGTCCGACTCTAGGGCGTGGTGCTCGTCCCTGTCTCCAAGCCATAGAGCCAGCGTTTGTCTGAAGACAGTTTCTGTGGTCAGGTGGCCAGCGCGACTAGACATGCAACGGCGTGACCTTCCCACCGAGGTGGGCCCTATTTATCAACTCGCCTTTTTACATGCTTTCGAACGGCTAGTTTGGCAGGAGCTGGGACAAGCGACGGGAGCTCCCTCTGTCGCGTGGCTTCGTTCTTTTGATGGCTGGTCTTTCGACCTTGCAGCCCAGAGGCTTCTGCGGTTTAACCCGCAGCGCCAGCGCGTCCCTTTTGAAAGCCCTGTTAGGGTCACTATAAGTCTGCTCTGACTTATCAACACAGGACACGCATGGACCACGGGCTCAGTTTAGCTTGTGTCCAAACTTGATTAGAGCCACGGAATCTGTGGGATTTGACACCACCGTTGATGCTTCTTTCAGCAGTTCATCACACTCCAGCTTGGATCAACACACATGCACACATCTCTCTGTTCCCATTTCTTCTTCATCCTCATCATCTCAGCACTGGAGAGCTGGAAGGGAACCCTACGGGTCATCCAGCCCATCCCCTGTCCACGGAGGCTCCGTGCGGAAATCGAACTCCCAAACCTCTGGCTCCATAGCCAGAGATCCAAACCAGTGATCTAGCGCAATTCACAAATTCACCTGTGCTCCTGGGCTTCAAAACTACCTCCTCCCCATCAAGATTTATTACATTAGTGCCCTGCTTCCCACAGGTCGCTAGGGCCCGAGACAAGGGGCTAGCAGGAGGAGTAATAAAAAAAGCAGATTCAACCTTAATATTATTAACATTGAATAAAACAAGCCAAGCCAGAGATTAGAGGATCTCTGGGGTGTGTGTGTGTGTGTGAGAGAGAGAGAGAGAGATGGGTGTGTGTGTTTTATCTTCAGCTCTGCTACTCTATTCTGGGAAACAGTGACCAGCTGGAAGAGAGGAGGGCCACCCCTTTGCCCATAATGACCAGACCTGGCATCCTGCCAGAACGCCGGAGATGAGGACCTGATTCTAAGCAAACAAGAGGGGACAGAGAGAGAGACACACACTTACAAAGGTTCCTGTCTGTCTGCTTGTTTTTCTGGACTCCAGAAAAAAAACACAGCTATATAATATTGAGTTTGGATTCTTGCCTCGAGCGGCAGGTTGGACTCAATGGCCATAGAGACCCCTTCCAGCTCCTATATTCAAGGATTCTATAATTTGGGGGGTGGGGGGGAATGCCAGCACCCCTTCTCAAACTTGCAAGCGAGATCAAAAACAAATGGAAAAAACAAAGTAGATCAGCACTTTCGAGGGCCATTTTCAAAGTCTGTGGCCTGCAAAACGTAAATGACGGTTTATCCTGTTCAGGCCTGATCTTCTTTCCTCTTTCAGGTTTCCAAATTCTCCTCGCCAGATTTTTTTTGAAAGAAAGTATGATGGGGAAGGAAGAGAGAGACGTCTGAACACATTTGCAACCCATTGGGGTGTGTGTTTTTTTAAAAAGCTCTGTGCGGCGAATCTCGCCAGCTGGCTTTTCCCAGAACAATATGGTCCGGTGAAAGCCATTTCCTTTTCCTGCCTCTCGAGTCGTGGTCTCCAGTTCAAAAGCGCGGCTGAGGTTTTGCCGTAACAGCCAAATCAAGAAATCGCCCACATTCTCTTATCTGAATTTACAGATCGCAACGTACACCGTTCGTTTTCATAGGGGTTCCTCTTTGTGGCTGTACGGCTGTTTATCGCTGGCAGACAAGGTCCAGAGAGGCCAGTTTTAAGTATTTTAAGTCAATTAAAGTCAATAGATAATTAACAGGAGATAAAAGGATTTGATTATCCTGCCAGGTGCTGGGGGCTCCTCCATTGGGCATTTGTAAAGACAGTGTGGAATGCCATCTGTTGAGGGGTACTTTAGCTGTGGGTTCCCTGCAGTTATGGGGTTGGAGTAGATCACCCTTTGGCCACCCATTCCGGCCTCTAAATTCTGCGACTCTATATTCTAATTCTGGGTGGATTCTGCCTGCAGCAAATTCATCCCCTTTTTGACCTCAGAACCATCAGCTGCCCATCTTAGGAGAGGTCTCCTCAATGCTACAGGATGGTCCAACTGGACAGGATACTTCTCAACATTTTCAGGCCTAGCGCAGCTGTGCTATGATGGCTCTCACGCATGCACAGTGAGAGCAAGACTGGAATAAAACCTGCTTCTTCCAACCTGAGACCTGGGCTAGACCCGGGGGCCTTGGGAAGAACATCGTTTTTAGCTTCTAAGGCTCCAGAGGTCTACTTAAACTGGCCTCCTGTCACAAGCGAGAATAGAATCGATTTCAGGTTGATGGAGTAAGCTACAGAATCTTTTCAGCTCGCTAAACTGAAGAGGGGTGAGGACTCCGTTTCTGTTGGCAGAGGAATTTGGCTGTTTAAACACAGACTTCTAAATTAGGACTCAAATGAGGACCAAGCTGAGAGTAAACAAAATATTGATATAAATCTGTTCCACCTCCAACTCCTCCTCCCCTCCTATACTTGAAAACACCTTCGGGAGGGGACTGCTCCCCTGAACTGTGGAAGTGGACAGCGAGTAGAGGAGAGGCTTGGTGCAGTGGTTAGAGCAACCTTTGCTAACATGATGCCTTCTTGATGGACAACTCCCATCCGCCTAACGCAGTGATGCTCAAGGATGATGAGAATCCCCACCTAAAGCATCCAGTGGGTGCCAAAAGCCGGCTTATGTACTGACTAGCAACCATCCTCCAGAGTCTTTTCCAGCTCTCTGCCCCCTGGTTCATGCCACTGAGGATGATGGTGAACCAAACCAGGGATTTTCTCTACCTATAGCACATGTTCCACCATGAGGGTACAGGATCCTTTCCCCACCCCCTATGCTTTGCTCATGACCGTAAGGCCTCTGTCTTTCACTCAACTTGGAAAAGAAGGCCGAGCTCCTACACCTCTGACCCTACCCAGCTGCATAAGTTTGACCCCACTTCAAAGTATGACTTCACCCCATGGAATTCTGGGAGCTGTAGTCTAGAGAGGCCCTTCGTTCAGAGAATACACCAGAGCAGGGATTCCCAACCTTGGGGTGTTCTTGGGACTGCCATTCCCAGAAGCCCTCGCCACCCGCTGTGCTGGTGAGGATTTCTGGGAGTTGTAGTCCAAAAAAACACACCTGGCTGGCTCCAATTTGGAGTCTGCAAGGGAGGGGGAATGCTCCCTCAAAATCTTAAAGTTATTTACTACACATGGAAGGATACAATACGCTGGAGGGACATGCACGGTGCCCACAAACCCATGTATGCCACTTTTGACACCCCCTTAAAAAAATTAGGTGGCTCACCAGGTCTAGAGTTCGAAAGCAGAGTTTTTTTACCCCAGCAAACTCCAAGGCTCGGAATCCCACCAGAGGGAGCGAGGCTCGGTTTTAAGTCCAACCCAACCGTCCCGTCACCACTAACCTGCAAGTTGTATTACCATGTATATTTTTTTTTGGGGGGGAAGGCTAGTGGATTTGGGGGGTGGCCTACAGAGCAACCCCACCAGCCCAGCCAGAGAGGGACCCACGGCTTACCTTGCAGCTGGGCCGAGAGCGCATCCTGTTGCTGCTTGTATTTCGAAGCCAGAGCTTCGGCGGCTTTCACCTTCTCTTGGAGATGATTGTATAAAAAAGCCCCCGACCCCAGGCAGGCCAAGGCCACCAGGCAAAACCCGGTTTGCAAAAGGCTCTTTTGCCTCCGGGTACACAACCCGCCCCCCATCCTTGGAGAGCCTTCTTTAACAGCAGAGTTGAGTTTCTCCCCTTCGTCTCTACCACCCCATCTGGTCCACAAGCCCAAATACACACAGAGAGACACACACACACCCCTCTGTTTCCTTCCCCGTCTGTAAAAACTCCCCTTCAAATTCTTCCAGCTGGGAGCTTCTCCGGCTTTCCCTCTTTATAATTCCAAGCTCGCCGTGCGCTCATCGTCTGTTGTCGACGGAAAGGAGGTTTAAAAAAAAAAGAGGAAAAAGGGGAGAAAAAAATCTCTGCTCCTCTTTCAAGCCAAGAGCTGTGCCTTCAAGCCAACAACCTTTAGAGAGTTGAAAAAAGGAAATCCAAGCGGGCGCTTTCCCCTTTCGGAACAATTTTTGACTCCTAGGCCATAGTTTCCTTCCTGAATCCCAGAGGCGTGAGTCGCAGGAGAGGGAGAAAACTTTGCTCTCTTTTTTTTCAGCCTCGAAACTTCCTGGTCTCAAAAGAGAGGGGGGGGCTTCTTCCACCCCCTGGAAGCCAAATCAACAACTCCCCTCCCCCCCAAAAAATCCCGATCTAGGTCTAAGAAAACTTTCTCAACACGTGGGAGACGGCCCCAGGCGCTTTGCTCTCCTCTCCCCGACGTTCAGAGCTCGGGAGGCACTTGAAGGTTATAGATGTATATAAAATATAAAAAGGCTTCATTGCCCCCCTTTCCCCCCCCCTCGCCAAAGAGGGTAAGCAGGCGCGGAGCGAAAAAAAAAAAGAATACTGCGGCTCCCAAGGGAAGGCTGAAATTGACCAGGAAACTGACCAAAGGGAATGAACGCCGGATCTTCTGCTACAGGGGAAAAGAGAAAGAGAAAAAGGAAATTAATCAAAATCCGGAATCCTGTTTTAGTTTCCAAGCCCCGGCCACTGGCAAGGAGATGGGGGGGGTGTCTCCGGCGGCTGGAGGAAGAGGGTGGGGAGGTTGGAGGCGGGAGGAGGCGAGACACCCCCTAAGTTTGGAGGCTTGCGCGCGAGAGGGGCGGACGGAGGGAGAGAGAAAGAGAGAGATGCCTACCCGGGGCGGAGCTGAACTGGGAAGGAAAGCGGTGGTCGAGGCAGCATCAGAGAAAGGGGCTGGCCGTCCGGGGGCTCAGAGGAGGGGACTGGGGGGGGAGGCGGAGATTCCGCGGCGAAGCAAGGCGAGGAGGCGCGCGTAAAGGCCGCGGGCGCGCCGGGAGACTCGAACTCGCGTCCCCCTTCGGGAAGGGGGTCGGCGCCTCCACCGCTCGGGCTGGGCCGAGGCCCGGATCTTGGGCTCCTCGATCCGTTCCCGACGGGGGGACGGCTGGGGAGCTCGGGAGGAAGGGGCCTGGACGCGGGGTGGCTGGCGGAGCGCCCCTCTTGCCTGAGCTGGGGGTATGCGGGGATAGACTGCCTCCAGATAAGGGGGATCTGTTTAGATTTCGGGACCGGACTGGGAGCAGTTCTTGGTGTATGTACATTTTTGTCTACAGGTCATATGTGCATGATGTCTCCGTGTGTGCATACACATATCTGTTCCAGAAATAATTTTAAAGGTCTTTCTTTCTTTCTTTCTTCCTTCCGTCCTTCCTTCCTTCCTTCTTTCCTTCCTTCCTTCCTCTCTCTCTCTCTCTCTCCATCACTAAGGTAGGGTCACTCCAATATCTGGCATGTTCTACTTGCACAACTAATATTTCATTCGTTCTGTTCCCATATGCCTGACGAAGTGGACGCATCCACGAAAGCTTGCATTAAAATATAATAGTTAAGTCTTTAAGGTGCCGCCCTGTTTTGGTCTCTTTTTGTAAGTTTAGTTTTGGTTCTTTGGATTTTGAGTGATATCCAAAAATCCTGGTTTTGGGGATGCTGCGTATTTTGTTTTGTTTTTTTAAACCCTTGAGTGATCACCCATCCTTTTGCTTTTAAATTTTTCAGTGTTTTTAATTACTTAATGCATTTTAAATGATTATTAAATGGAATCATTAAATGGAATCATTACTACAGTTAAATTGCTTTCTAATCTTTAGTTTACTGTGCTTTTAGTATTACATGTTTTAGCAATGTGGAGTAGCCTTGCGTCCCTCACTGGGAGGGTTGAAGGACTGTCTTTCGTAAGCATGTACAGAGTTTTAAATCTTCAGTGAAAACTCTCTTGTCTGCCTCCAATAAGTGAAGCTGAACCTTACACAAGGGAAGTTTTTCTGTGCTGCTTCCCTTTAAATGAAGGGACTCCCTCCCAGGAGAGAAATTAGGTCGATTCCTTCCTTATTCAGCGCCTGGATTAAACACACTATCTCTTTTTCCGTTTTAAAAACTTGTGTTTGAAATTGTTTTTAAATTCTTCTTTTAGAAATGTGTTTATACCTTTCATCGCCCATCTGCTGGGCAGCAGAAGCAATTAATAAACACATTTTAAAAAGTAAACAAATGAGCCCTGCTTTCCAGCCAACCGATGTGAGAGTCTAATGGACAAATTACAAGGGAATGTAGCTGTCCTTATGCTGCCATATTTGTCCCTCCAGACACCTGATTCCTTCAAACCTGTGTGCCCAAGCATGCAGGCATGCAAAGGAAGCCCGTGTTTACCTCTGAAATGACCAATCGGAAAATGAAAGTGTGCTAGGGTAAACAGCCTTTGAAGGATGCTCCACTTATGATGTGCTAATATGATTGTTCTGTTTGGGCCTCAGAAGATCCTAAGTTTCAAGATCCGTGCAGAGGTGCACCGATTTTATTGTTGTTCCTGTGTTTCAGCACCCATCGAAGGACACCCGGTGAAGAGGTAGTCCAGACACTGGGCTAAAATCCTTACCTGGCACAGCAAATGATTCAAAAACATGTGATTCTTCTTTTAGATTTGGTCACCAGTGGGTAAAAGCGCAGCAGCGGGGCTGCTGAAAGATGTTGGCAACCCTCAGGAGGCTATGATCCTTCACAGAGACGGCCAATTAAACTGCTTCTGAAGCCTCCTCTGTTCTTCTCCGGCTCCTTTTTAAAACGCCAGAAGACCAGCAAAA